CTCTACATCTGCATCGCTCTGTCCCGCGCCGGATGTAGAGCTCTACAGCTCTACAGCGCTCTACAGCTCTACCGCTCTACAGCGCTCTACACTCTACATCCTCTACTAACACCCTCCCTCAAAAATCAATACCTAAAATTCCCCCCCAAAACTCTTTTTTTTCTGCAAGGAAAAGAAATCGCGGACTATCCTTGCTCGAAGGCTTCCGGCGCGCCGCATTGTTGCGCCCGGCAGCTGCGGGGATACCGTATGGGCTCGCCACCCGAGCCTCACGACAAGATCTCCTACGTGACCGACATCGAGGGAAACTGGGAGTTTTTCGTCCGCTTCATCGACCTCTCCGAGGCGCTGAGCCTCATCGCGCTGCCGGCGCACGGCTCGCCCGCGGCGCAGGTGGACCTGCAGGATGGCTGGCAGCTGGTGGTGGGAGGCGATTGCTGCGACAAGGGCGGCGCCGTCGGCGGCTCCATCCGCGTCGTATCGACCCTCGTCGAGCTCAAGCGGCGCTATCCGACTCGAGTGACGCTCATCCTCGGCAACCGAGACGGCGCGGCACCTGCCCGCTGCCCCGACCGCCTCGTCCGTCGCTCGCATCTGCCCGCCGCCTCTGCTGCCCACCGCCTCTCTCTCCCTCTCCCTCTCCCTCTCCGCCCTTCTCCCGCCCTCTCCCCTGCCCGCGTTTGGCCGCCGCTCGGGCTCCAACACTGTCCGCCCCCGCCGCCCCCGCCGCCAACAGTCAACAAAATGAGGATGACGTCGGAGCTGTCGGAGGGGCAGCTGGCGCACGAGCGGCTGTCCACCATCCCGGGCCCGTACTGGGTCCCCGAGTCCAAGCGCGTCGCTCCCTGCGCCTTTCTTCGCGCGACTGCGGCGCAGCGGCTGGGCGCCGGGCTCGCCGGCGTGCGCCCCTTCTTTTTAGCGCGGCGTGCTTCTTGTTCAGGCGCAGCAGCTGGGCCGCGCGGGCCTCGCCGCGTCGCTCTCTGTCGCGGAGCTCGCCTCGGGGTACAACACGCTGCCCAACCGGCTCCGCTGGATGCTAAAGGAGACGATGGGCGCCGACGGCGAGTTTGAGCGCCGGCGGGCGGAGCTAGAATCAGAAGACGTGCTCTTAGCCTCCCAACCGGCGCTCGGGAGGGGGCGTATTCGGCTGTGTTCAGCCGTAGACCCGCCTGTTGGCGTACTCACCTAGGCGGGCGGAGATTGCGCTGCTGCGAGGCTCTGACGCCGAGCACGCTTTGGCGGTCCGCAAGGCGGCGGAGAGTTCCGAGAGCGAGGCGCGCGACGGGCGGCGCCCTCGGCCTTCAAGCCGCGCCGAGGCGGCGCTGGGTGTGACTGACGCCGAGGTGTGCGAGTCGTTTGTGTCGTCCGTTGCGCCGGGCGGCTTCATGCGCGGCCTGCTCGACGCGGGCCAGCTCGCGTGCATCATCGGCTCGACACTCTTTTTGCACGGCGGCGTCCAGTCGCGCGGAGGCTGCGCACTTGGGCGCGTGCCAGGCCGCGAGGGCGAGGTGCAATCTCCGCGCGAGTGGGCCGACGCTCTCAACGCGTGGTACGCCGAGAGAGAGAGAGAGAGAGAGAGAGAGAGAGAGAGAGAGAGAGAGTGAGAGAGAGAGAGAGAGAGAGAGCCGAGAGAGAGCCGAGAGAGAGGGAGAGGGAGAGAGGGAGGGGGGGAGGGGGAAGGGTGAGAGAGGGGTTGGAGGGGGGCCGGACCCAGACGCCGGGTGCTTGCACGAAAGAGAGAGAGAGAGAGAGAGAGAGAGAGAGAGAGAGAGAGAGCCGGGGTGCGTCGTGCCAGAGGTAAGCAAGCTCGCTCCGTGCCCAGGTACGCCGAGCAGCGTGCAGACTGGCACGCTCGCCCCGGCTGGGAGGATGAGAGTTCAGGGCCGAGCTTCGCCGCCGACAAGACGGCGCAGGGTTGGGCGAGCTTGCGCGGCGGGCACGCGCTGATGGACTACGTCGTGCCCGGCTCCACCCCGACGGTCCGAGAGATTGCCGAGAGACCGCCGAGAGATTGCCGAGAGATTGCCGAGAGATTGCCGAGAGATTGCCGAGAGATTGCCGAGAGACCGCCGAGAGATTGCCGAGAGATTGCCGAGAGATTGCCGAGAGATTGCCGAGAGATTGCCGAGAGAGATTGCCGAGAGATTGCCGAGAGATTGCCGAGAGTTCGCCGAGAGACCGCCGAGATGACTCGAACCTTAGAGATGCAGTACGCAGCCTGAATCAATTGACTAGGTCGTGCTGGCCAAGCACCTGACTACCGGGGGAATGCCGCAGCCGCTCGACGAGGAGCTGACCAGGCGAGAGACAGCCGAGACGCTGCCGAGATGCAGCCGAGATCGAGACTGTCGAGACGGCGGGCCGGCCCGTCGGCGCCTCATCGACGCGCGCCTCTGCCGGCTGCCTCTCGGCTGTATCTCGGCTGTATCTCGGCTGCCTCGCGCTTAGGCGCCTCAACGAGTCGGGCATCTACCGGCTGGTGGTCGGCCACACGCCGCACGGCGCTTGTCCCACCGTGATCCGACGCCCCTTCCAAGGAACTGTCTAGGAACCTTCTAGGAACCTTCTAGGCGCGTGTCCCACCGTGATCCGACGCCCCTTCCAAGGAACTGTCTAGGAACCTTCTAGGAACCTTCTAGGCGCGTGTCCCACCGTGATCCGATGCCCCGCCGCGCCGCCACACCCGCCGCGGCCCTCAAAGACGAACAGCGGCAGCGGAGGCGGAGGCGGAGGCGGAGGCGGAGGCGGCGGAGGAGGCAGCAGCGGCAGCAGCAGCAGCAACCTGTATCTCGACCGCTGTTCGTCCGAAAACACCGAGGACCGCCGGGCGCGCCTCGCGAGGTTACCCCGCCGCCCCTCTCTGCTGGCGGGGGTGCACGGGAGCGGGTCGACCCCGCGCCGCAGCCCGTCCAAGGAGGTGCGGACGGCCGGCTCGGGGTGCACCGCGGCCGACGCGCCACTGAGCTGGCGAGGCGCGTGCGTGTGTAGGAGGGCGGCGGCCCCTGCCTCGAGATCATCATGGCCGACACGTCGTACTCGGACATGAAGGCCGCCGACAACCGAGGCGCGTCGAGACCGCGCGAGATCGCGCGAGATCACGCGAGACCGCGCGAGAGCACGCGAGATCGCGCGAGATCACGCGAGATCGCGCGAGATCACGCGAGATCACGCGAGGTCGTGCGGGACTCCTCTCTTGACGGCGGCCAGCCTGCCACACCAGGGACGGCCGTCTCCGAGGTGCAGCTGCGGCCGGACGGCTCCGCTCGCATCCACGGCTGGCTGAACCAGTCGAGGCGGCGGCTGCCCCTACCGACCCCGGGGCCGGAGCCCGCGCTGGATTCGACGGTCTCTGGAGGTGTGGGACTAGGCGGCTTGACTACGAGCTCGGCCCGGTCCGGCCCTTCTCGTACACGCCCGACTCGCTGCTCAAGCTCTCTCTCCCCGGCTCGCTGGGCCCTCGCCTGTCGATGGCAGCGGCGAAGCAGCCTAGAAGCCGGAATGTCTCCCCGCACCTCCCCGCACCTCCCCGCACCTCCCCATATCTCCCCGTACCTCCCCGTACCTCCCCGTACCTCCCCGTACCTCCCCGTATCTCCCCGTCCCTCCCCGCACCTCCCCGTACCTCCCCGTCCCTCCCCGTATCTCCCCGTACCTCCCCGTATCTCCCCGTACCTCCCCGTATCTCCCCGTATCTCCCCGTATCTCGGGCCCTAGAGGCGGGAGGCGGACTCTTGCCTTCCCTCCGAGAGTACACACCGATCCGGCTGCAGTCTGCCGGAGTCGTACCCCCCTTCGTACTCGCATGCACGCACAGCCCCGGGCGCCGAACTCGCACAGTGGCAGTCAGGCACGCAGCACGCACAGTCCCAGGCCCCTCGTA